ACGTCTTCAAACCCAAGCATGAGGTAAGGGGACGCGCGGCCTGTAATCTGCGGTAAGTGGGTTTCACCAAACAGGAAAAAAAGGAACACACACATCCAACCCCACTCACACATGTGGACACCTTCCCAACAGAGCCATGACTAAGCCTGCTAGATTACCCCGTCCCTGTTGGCACGGCGCCGCTGTTGGGAACATTGGGCCTTGTCCTGTGTGGTTGGCTGGCCAGAGCTCTGCGTGTCCTGGGGGGGCTCGAGTCACAGGGCTTAGCCGCCGCCGCTGCTGCTTCTGCTTCTGCTGCTGCTGCTGCCACCGCTGACCACAGCCATCTGAACCTGATTCCTCATTCTGACCCCAGGCAGCGCACAGTCTGCTGCTTCATTAGGTCACTCCACCACCTCTAGCTGGGGGGGAATTTTGAGGCAGGTCCAGTCTGGATTACCATATGGCTCCTCTTGGTTATGCAGTCATGAAATATGAATCCAACACAAAGACTCCTGCTTCTAATGCGCTCAGAAGTGTCACACGGCCGACCGGGGACTGCGAAAACTCTCGGGGGAAGCTATGTTGCAGAGATTTCATCATGTTTTAAAGTCAAGCGTATACATTGTTTACCATAACTTGGTGTCAATCCATATTGTTTTCTGCACAAATCAAAAAAAAGTTTGTGGGAAAATCTGCTCTGCTGTAAAAATGGATGTAATCTTTGTAGTGAAACTAGCATCCGAGAGAGAAAACAATTCTTCAACACCCTAATTGTCTTGTCTCTTTCTCCACCCACACCCTCAATTAGTGCAAATAAAATCCTCCCTTTGTGAAAAAGAGCCATGCAAAACTGAGAGAGCTGCTCTGAACGGAGCGAGGAGGAAGAAAAATACACTTTTTAAACCGCAGAGGCACAGCCTGGGTGTCAGGTAAGGAAGCTGTAAGGGTTGTTTTTTTTTTTTATTCCTTAAGGCCCAGAGGTGGCTGAAGTGACAGAGGCCAGATGGTGGAGTGTGCATGCCTGGGAGGTGAACACAGACTGACAAGACAGCCCAGGGTCTTCTATAATGAAGTGTGTACAGCGGCTTAAAAAATCCTCACAGCAATCATCTCTGCCCTCTCGTGTTGTTTTCTCTCACTGATTTATTAAAATCGGGAGAACTAGCCTGAGCAACACGGCGCAGGATCGGAGAGAAAATATACGCCATACCATGAATCTTTGTTTCTTTAACAGATTTGCAAAGTACAAACAAGTAGAAACCTCCTACACTTTTTTAAAAAAGGTAGTTTTTTAAGGTTTGCTTGTTTGCATTAATTATGCGACACATTCACAACAAAATTTAGACTCAAATCTGCTTTAACATGCTGAAAAGAGGATTTCTGAGCATAAGCATTAATTAGGATGACCATATGTCCTCTTTTACCTGGACATGTCCTCTTTTTGGGGACTGTCCCCGCTTTTGTATGTAAGTTTTGAGTTTGTGTCACATGGACTTACTGAGTTAGAATCATGTAAAAGTCTCTTGATCGGATCTGAAAAACTCTCACAATCAACTTCGTACGACTCCATGACTCCGCCCCCCGCATAGTCGTCTCCTCTTTTTGGGAAGTCAGTATAGTCGACCTAGCGTTAATTACCATGCAAAAACTGCAAAAATTCCCGACGATACTTTCAACCCTAAAAAGTATCAGGGTGAGTTTTTTAATGGCATATTTAAAAAATGATTAGCAATTAGCACTTTGTCCACAGGGGGTGACAAAATCCACAAAAACAGAAATATTCTCACATGAGCTTTAAATAGAGAAGACAGAGAGACTTAAACCTGCAGAAAAGATTATTTCTGAGTATAAGCGTTATTTCTCATGATCTAACATTATAAAACCTGCATCCTATTTTCTCAACCATCCACCAGTCAGGTTTTGACCAGGGTGATCCTTGGCCACTCCTGCCAAACTGTCCTCCCATTTTTACTGCAAAAGTTAATGACGATTATTGCAACACTAAAAAGAATCAGGGTGAGGTTTGAAATGGCATGTATTAAAAATGATAAGCAATTACAGGGTTTCTACACAGTTGGAATTTCCAAACTTTTCCATACCCTACTTTTTAAAATTATTTTTGGAAATACCGACTTTTCTATTTTAGGAAAACTGTATTTTTTTGACTGTGGTAATAGTCTGGAAACATCAATATTTTTCCTTACTTTATTTTTCATTTACAATGCTTATTTTCCATACTTTCCATACCTGCGTAGGAACCCTGCAATTAGCACTTTGTCCACAGGGGGCGACAAAATCAACAGAAATAGAAATATCCTAGTGTAAACAGAGAGACTCAGCTGTAGACGACAAACTGGGGAAGTTTAAGCACTACGATGAAATTTGATACTCTGCTGTTTTTCATGCAACAAGAATGTTAATTATTTATAGCTATAGTGCAACCACCCAGTTCATGGTGAATACAGTACTGCTATAACGCCTGCACAGTGCAGTTTGTCTGTATTTGGAGCTATAAAAATGCAGGTAAAGATTTATGTAGGCTGGGTCAGGTTAAACTTATAAATTACCACCTGACCACAGCGATGTGTAACGAAGAAGTAAGTCACTTTAGGGCGATCATTTACACGTAAACAATCTCTCCTCCAGATTGCTGCACTTTCTCCAGTCTAACTTTATCACAACGTCAACTTTTAATCTTTTTACAGAACTATGTGCACTTCTGCTTGAGTAAAGAACATCTGAACTTTAAAAAACATCTGTTTTTTACTTTGTTTTTTAAGGTCATAACTGCAGAATGAGAAAACTGAACATGATAAAAAAAGAATAAAAATATTAAACTGAACTCAAAGAATCTGGAAGTCATCCATCTAGCAGATGGTATCGCTCATTTTGCGGTATATTTCACCCAACTGGCAGCATTTGTCTGCACAATGGAGAACTGGAACTGCCTCTGATTCGCATTGATAAACTTCTTCAGCCCCCATTTGCCATTTCTGACAGGTGTTGGCCCGGCGACCGAAAAACAATATCTGAAACTCCAGGCCTAAGCTGTGGGACAACCTTTGGGGTGTTGAATGTCACCATCTGTTGAGGACCTGCTTAGTTGAAGTCATTACAGCACGTGGAGCGAGAACGCGGCTCCAACTCTCACCCATGAGGGCCACGCTTTATTGCACAGAAACTCAGGTGGGCCCTGATCAGATTTCTGCGGCTCTGTTGGCGATCGTTGGGAGCACTTGGGTTGACATTGTCTGCATCTAATTGTAGTGCATGTAAGGAATGATGCACACCAAAACGCTGAGAGAAAGACATGAAAATACTGAATTAAATTTGAGTTATGTTGACTGTAATATTATGCAATTAAACATACTGTAGTCTGGTGCCAATGAAACACAGGAAAATACTGTGTTTTACGCCCTGAAATTGTTCTATTTAGCGAACACTACTACCTAACCTTTGGACTGTAATTGTACGTAATTAGAATTACAGTTTGCTTGGTTGAGACAAACATGTAAGACACTCTTTTTTTCTCACTTTTTTTCCAAAATTTCATTCTGCTTCCAACAAAATTAGCATTTTGCATAAATTGTACGTGCGGTTGCATTTGCTAACTTAGTTGAAAACTGCATCAGCAAATTAACTTGTCTACTATAATCTAACTGACCATGTCTTTGTCTGGCGGACACAGCGTCATTGTGGTGTTACATTTGTCGTTCTGCTTTCTCCTCAACCAACTCAACAGATTTCTGTCTTTCACCTTTTTCGAGGTGAAGAAAGGCGAGACTCTCGATTTACCGGTCGATCTATGTGCCGACCCTCACCTATGGTCATGAACTTTCAGTAATGACCGAAAGAACAAGATCGCGGATACAAGCGGCCGCACTGGGTTTCCTTCGCAGGGTGGCCGGGCTCAGCCTTAGAGATAAGGTAAGGAGCTCGGACACTCAGGAGGCGCTCAGAGTAGAACCGCTGAGGAGGCTCAGGTATCTGGTTAGGATGCCTTCTGGATGCCTCCCATTAGAGGTGTTCCGGACATGTCCCACCGGGAGGAGACCTTGTGGCCGGCCCAGGACAAGGGGGAAGGGTTATGTCTCTCGCCTGGCCTGGGAGCGCCTAGGAATCCCCCTGGAGGAGCTGGTGGAAGTGGCTGGGGTGAGGGCCGTTTGGGCTTCCCTCCTGAAGCTGCTGCCCCCACGATAAGCGGAAGAAAACAATGACGACCTTTTTCCCTTTGGCTTATGCTAACTTTATTGGACTGTGTTTCCTGCTAACCATATTGTTTAGGGTGACCATACATCCTCTTTTACCTGGACATGTCCTCTTTTTGGGGGGCTGTCCAGCCTGTCAAGGGGAGTTTATAAAATCGTTCAAATGTCTGGAGTTCTCTTTAGAAGTTTTGAGTTTGTGTAGCGTGGACTTACTGAGTTAGAAGCGCGTAAAAAATACTCAACCCAACCCAAAAAAACCCTTACAAATTTACAATGCGCAGCTCCGCCTGCGTCGTAGTGTCCTTTTTTGGGGATTCAGAATATGGTCACCCTACTATCAGTACAGCACACAGTCAAAAACATAAACTTTTGGGGGGCTGTTACGCTGAGTTAGACATGTGCAGTTAAAAAGTTAAAAAGGTCTCAGTGTTGACACTAAAAAGTCAAAAACCTTAGATATTTGATGAAAAAACTTCAAAATCTCAAGTTATACTTGTTACTTTTTGGGGAGCTGTCCGGCCTGTCCAGGGGAGTTTATAAAATCCTTCAAAAGTCCAGGGTTTTCTATGGAAGAAGTAAAAAACACTTGACCCAACCCGAAAAACCCTTACAAATTTACAACACGCAACTCCGCCCCACGTCGTCTCGTCCTCTTTTTTGGGGATTCAGAACATGATCACCCTCGTATTGTTTGTAACAGCTGCCTGCTGCTGCCAAAAATCAGGTGAATAAGACCGATGGGATTTAAAAACTGGCTGCATTATGAAGTAAAAGTGAAAGGCTAAAAAAAGCCGAGCATCAGAGGAATGTCTGAAGCTTTTCTGGCTCTGAGGCCCCTTTCAGATCACAGGTACTGTTGCAATTGATTTTTTTTCATCAGTTTAAAGATAAGCAGGTTTTGAGTGTGCATAAAATGCACAGTTGAGTTCAATGAAGCTCCCTTCAGCAGTAAGAACCCAGCTGTGTTCAGTCACTAGCTCTAATTATCTTGTTGTGTTCTCAGATATGAAGTAAGCCTATAGAGTGAGCTGACGTAGGTCCACTGCTTTGAGATACTGCACAATTAGTTCCAGCAGTTCTCCGTCGTAAACAGAGTTTGATTAAGTTTCCTGGTGTTGATGTACTCACCGCGGGGCGCTCCATCTTTCATCCCCGCCTCAGGTTCCTGTCACACATCAGCCAGAGAGGAGACTGAGGTTCACCGATCCACCATGGCCGAACTTATCTCCGAGCAGATAATTCCACTGAGAGGACGGTATTATGTTTCCCAAAACCAGCTCACAGCCGTGGAATCCTGGTTGATGCGCTTCTCAGGTGGCCGTCGTATTGCTCGAATGGATTTCAAGCGTCGATGTGGAACGATTCCTTTGAGAAAGGTATCCATTCAAATGAGGGTAAAGTCATCAAGCTTCTGCAGCTGTCCTTAGATCTTTGCTGTTTCATTCTCGATCGCATGTGCTGCGTATGTTTCAAGGATAAGAAACTCTCGAGGATGATGTTCTTTCTCAGTATGGAGAAGTGTTTCTCTCTATTGTTGCTCGAGGACTGCGAGATGCAGCTTTTTCTCCTGCTCACCAGTTGTCAATCGGTATAAATCAAGTTGATTTTCTCGCATTTGCTAAAACTCGTCGGATGTATTTACACCCACCTTGTCTGGTTTTGGGGGTGTCTGCCTGCTGGCGTGGTGCGCTGGTGATTTGTTACCACCTGGCACATTTCCCGTCTGCTCTGCAAAACCAACTCAACCTCTATGTCTGCTCTGCGTTTCTGTCCCACGAGCCTCCGAGATCACAGCTTCAGAAGAAATCGAGAAATTTCTCTCACTATCTGGTAAAACTTGTTCGCAGTTGGCTGGATGAGTTACTATTAAGGCAGCTTTTTAATATGCGCAGCATTGTTATGCAATCCCATATGGAACAAGCCAAATAACTGGCAAGACACTCTAATGAAAATAAACTAAACACCATTTGACAGCCCTGAATTCAGTTCTTGGCAAATCGACGTTGCGCCCGTGAAGTTTATCCAATTGTATCCCATTGTGCATTTGCAAATATGAGTGTCTTTTCATTCCTTACTGCTCCTTATCTTCATTGCAGAATTCCCAAAGGGAAATTGGGAGGTTACCGGAGTCGCTGAGTTTGAAATTGTCTCGGTAGTTTTTTCAGAGCGATAAAAGAGAGCTACAGGGAACAAAAGCAAAGAGGTTGAATTGGAGAGACTGTGTTGCTGCTTTGCCACAGGGAAACAGTGTGAAGATGAATACAAAACCAGAAAGTCCAGTTTAAGACAGCAAGAGGTTATAGCTCACTGCTTTCAGGAATTGTTCATCTGAAGTTACCATGGCAGCCATTTTTTCTCCTCTTTTGTCTTAAGCACAATGCTGCAATCTGCCATAAGATTCGTCGGTTCGCTTTTGGTCCGAGGCGCTTTTCTGACTCTAAATTAAGAGGAAAAGTCACAGAGCTTCAGCATCAAATTACATTTCAGAAAATAGAGAGGTCCCGCTCTGTTTCAGTCTGAGGAAGGCTTTTTCACATTTCTACATGACAATGCCCTCATGAATACTGCTGGCATAAAAAAAAGACAAAAAAAATGAACATCTTTTGTATTGATTCCTTTCATGTTCACTTTCTATCAGCTCCTCCTCGCCTGTATGTACTGTTTGGGGAAACAGCAACAGCCTAGCTTTGCTATCGCCTACTCAGCTATATATTTTAGTAGCCGTAACAGGTTCCTTGAGGAGTTTTGTTTTTGCCGGTAAAGCGCCCTGGAGCTGTTTTTTTCTCCAGTTGGGTCAGTTTGAGCGGACTCACGGATCTGTAGGGGGCAGTAATGCTCGGAGCTAAGTTTAGAAAAAGAGACAGAAGGAGTTTAAACCACATCAAAAGAAACGGGACTCTTAAAAGCGAGCTATAGACTCATGATCTACTGCTCTGAAAGACAACAATATCTTAAAGCAAATACAATAACTCTAATATTTGTTCTGATTAGTTGTTGATTTGCTCTTTTGCAGTGTAGTAGACATTTTTCTGTTTCCATCTTTATGGGAAGCGTCAAATCTACAAGATCCTGCAAAGTAGAGCTCCAGTTAGAAGTAGCAACCACATCATCTTGCTGTCTCCTTTGCCTCTACAGGTGGTCTTATGCTTTAAATATTTTAAAAAGGACTACAAAATCTGTGATATAAGTCACCCCTGCGTGCATTACAACCGTCAGCATTAAGACTCCCACTTCTTTTGACAAAGTTTAAAGTTTGCATTTTCTGAGCAGGTGTGAAGCTTTCCAGTATTGTCTGATTTAACTTTCCTGTTTGCTACTAGTGCAGTATCTTAGCTCAGGACAGATCAGGCAACATCCTCTGGTCTTAAGATAAGAAGAATTAACAGCAGTTCCAACAACTGCAGTTCCTTGAGTGTCCACTGGGACACAATTCCTAATTAGTCATTTTAAATGATAGATAGATAGAAAGATAGATAGATAGATAGATAGATAGATAGATAGATAGATAGATAGATTAGATGACTATTAATCCCTGAAGGGACATTAAATTGTCATAGCAGTCCAGTAAAATACAATTAAATGAATAAAATACTGAATAAGACAAGAGGATGAAAAACAAGATATAAACAATATATACACATGCCTGGATGAATCTTCAGTAGAATTCTAGAATACTCTGAATGTGCACATGTGCATACAGTGTGCAGTATAGTAAAACTGAATGCAGAAGGTGGCAGGTAGAATACTATATAAAATATTAGAAGCGTTATGGTAGTTAGTTAGTTATGATCATTTCTTCATGGAAATACAGTCAGACCTCTGAAGATAAGGCAGAAGAACTACCGCGTCTGCAGTACAAAATGATTAATATGGTGATTATTACTTCAAGAAGATGATAAAGAAATGATCATAAATGTTCTTCCTTGAGTTGCGTCCTTTAAAATTAATTTTACGCCGGAACATCCCTTTAAATCTATGTGCAATATCTTGCACTGCAAACTCTATTTGTAAAGGAACACTGGTTAATTTAATGACAACAACTTTGCAGCATGGCAACAGTGGAGGAGGCTTCTGAGGAGCCCTCAAATAACACGTCCTGATTAAGGAGGTTTTTAAAGACACCGGTCTGTGATAAATGAAGTGTCTAATCTGTAAATCATGTAAAGCTGCGGAAGAATCAGGCGATGTGGTGCCTGAAAACAAGCATTATAGAAGAACTAAGACTGGTTCTGACTTCTTGCACAAAATCTATCATCCAAATTGTTTTTCAGGCCGTGTGGGCATCTTTTCTGTGCCTCCGATCTTATATAAAAAAGGTGTTTTAGACTTTGCTTCCTCTAACACAGCTCTTTCTCTTTTTGTTTTTTAAATCCTGCTCAAACTTCTACCCACAAACTAAAGAGACTGCCTAGTATGCTGCTCAGGTCACAAGGATAATTACCAATTCTTTTGGAAAGAAAATGAAGCATAAATGGTTTTATTTATGCCAAGTAGCAACAAATTTAAGTGTGCATTATAGTCTAAAAGGTGCAAATTGCCTTGATACTCAACAACACAAAAAGCTCACTTGATTATTACGACTTGAAGAAACTCCCTGGTGAACAAAAACCGGGTCCTCGAAGGAAGTTTTTGTCCAGTTTAGTCTGGGAACTATCGGCTGACCTAAACCTCCAAACCCCGAGCTGTAGTCTGGCATTAGTGTTAGACCTGGCGAGGACTCAGGCAGCACAGTTCATACAGTATCATGTTATCCATACTCTTTTGCTGTATTGTGTATTTGGTTTATCAACGCTGTGTGTGGCTGGAGGAAGTTGTTCAACAAACTCTAAAAGTTGAATCAGGGTCAACACTTTCTTCCCCCTCAGTTTCTCTCACTTGCCCTCTGAATCTCTCACCGAATATGTTTATTCCAGGGTGCTGAAGGATTTCAGCTCTCAGTGTAGATATATCAGTGAATTGATCAAGAGCTTTTTGTTTACACCTTCAACAGAAAAATGAAGAAAAACAAAAACTTTCCAGGATGTGATGACACCGGTGCAGAATGTAACGACGGGCGAAATGAAAGCATTTCTCCACAGATCCAGACAGCTGGATGACTAAAAATGCAGGTGAGTCACGTCCAGAGGAGACAACATGCTAAAATTACATTGTATGGGTGGATGTAGGGGGAGCAGCCGACTGCTGAAGGCTGAAATAATTTGGTTTCTTCGCACTTTTGTCTTGTTGCAAGTGTCATAAGAGAGCTGGTGGGTTTTGTGTCACAACTGTTTCCCCGGCGTAACTTTCTGCAGAGACTCTGCGCTTCTGGTGTAATGAATGAAAGAAGAGTGATGCAAGAGAAGAGTGCTAGTTTATCAGCCTTTTGCAGTAAAAGTGTGACATTTACAATCGACTGGATCACTTCGATCTGGCTTTTTAAGACCTCCCATGAAGAACTGTATATATTTTCAACATGGTAAACTTTGACTCTGGAGATTAAATAACATCAAGCTGACACTAAGACACTAAGACTATCTAACTGACATTTAACCTTCTGCGATTACAAAAAAAACTGCGTGCACACCACTACGTTTTAAGAAAAGTTTTCGTTTACACTAACCCGTGTATATATGCCGTCAAGAGCATATCAAACATGTCGATGGCAGTGTAGCGAGAAGCTCAAGCTCACGTTAGCCGCCAACCTTCCAGTTATTGGACGACCGCTCTACCTCCTGAGCTACTGTCGCCCATATCGGTATATTTGGTGTCAAATAAATAAATCAAAGTTGTTTTTGGATGTGTGTAGGTAGGCTATGGTCTCATGTCCCTTTAAGATGCTGTCCTACATCAGAGACGTGACTCCACCCCATCCAGTCGGTAACAAAGACGGAAAGACAGGTGAGGAGATGGAGGACAGTTGTTGAAGTAGACAAAGTTAATGTGGGAGGCGGTGAGCAGCTTCTGGAGCAGTTATCGTCCATTTATCGTTATCGAGGTGAACTGATCAATATGTCAGGATATATTAATTTGAGGCCATATAGCTCAGCCCTACTACCGACCACTGCAACTCCTTACTGGCAGGCCTCCAAGCATGCACAGCAAAACCTCTGCAGATGAGCAGAACCTGGTTTGGAGCCTGGCTTCCAGATGCAGCTAGCAAATCTACAAAACAGCAACAAAAACAGCTCTTAGCTGCCGTGTTTTATTTTCACCTCCTTGTTTTTTTTTGTTTTTTTTCCATATTTAGAAATGTATTTGACTCTGCTCAACTGCTTCAATTCACCAATTTAGCTGCTAATGAACTGACATGAGAAAGATCAAGTTCAGGTGTTAAAACTCGGGCCTGTGTGGCAAGTTTTAATTTGAGTGTCTGGCTTTAAAGTCGGTGTGACTCGGCTTGCTTTTTCTCATCTAAGCACACCAAGTGATCAAAACTAAGTGATCACACAAGCTCTTTTTAAAAGCTCGAATGTGATGTTTTCACACTGAGAAGTACCTCTCAGCTAAATCTGTTAATTGATTAAATTAAAAAAAGCATCAGCGAATGTTCAGGGGGGGAAAACACACTCTCTAATCCATACAACATTTATCAGAAAATCCATTTGATTCCTGCTCTATGTAAGTGCATAACTCATAATGACTGCTTCCTTAAAAGACCTCACATGGCACAAACATCCTAAAGAAGACAGAGTTGAGCCCTGTGTTGTTATCTACCCTTGCCCATAAATTAACTTTGCTGCTACCCAGAGCCTTTTCTGGCTTCATGTAACCTTGTTATACCGACCCAGCACACTTAAGCATTCAGCCCACTGAAACGTTGGATCTAATCTTAAAAACTTGAACCAGAGTGAGTCATTATTGATTGTGAGTCTGGAGAGCAACAATGAACGCTCTCCCCGCTCTAATGGGATTGTGTTCTTTGTTCAAACACAAAAGTACACCTCTGACATGACTTTTTTCATTTGCAATCAAACAAACCGTGTCCGCCTGCATCATGGGAAGTTAGCCCTCCGATGCTAGCGAAGCCCAAAGCGCTCTTTTGATTGTTCCTGCGCCGCTAAAATTAAATCTTTTCTAATTTCGACCGGCACTTGAGGAGATTGTTGTATGTGATTTTTCAGATTGCTTTCTTTGATTGTTTTGTCTCCGAGCGGCTTAGATTGCCTTCAGTAATAATGTGTCACTTTTCATGTATCATTTTATTGAAGCTTGATGAAATGCGCTGTGAGAGACACTAGCTGGATTACATTAAAAAGGCCTTTGGCTGTACCTGGTTCATTATTCTTCTTTTCTTTCCACCATTATAAGCCTTGTCCCAGGGAAGCCTCGCTGATTTATATGCTTGATTGTATCCTCAGTGACAAAAAAGGAGTCTCTGAGGCTTTCAGGGCGATTATGACTCCATTGTTCTGCTTTTACTCGGGCCAAATCGTGTGTTAGGTTGGATTGGTAGTCAATCAAAAATCCCCCTTCCTTTGGTTAAAGTAGAGTAATCATAGATGTTCACTCTCTGTATCATCAGTGTACCTGTTTGTCTCTATAAAAGTGCCTGAATACATTTCTGCAAAAGCTCCGATCTGAGTCTTACAGCCTCAGTTTCAAAAAATTCAGATTTTACGTTGATAAAACAGATTTTGAAATTTGGCAAATCATTTAAATTGTTTATTAATTGAAAGTAGTGCGAAGAAAACATGTCGTATCAATGTGAACTATTGTGGAAAATGTCATTATGTTAGGGCACATTTTGATAGATCTTAGTGTCATGTGGTTTCATTTTTGCATGGTCAACTTTCAGAAGTGACTCTAACCCGGAGATTCCACTGGATCCGGAACGGCAGGTGGATCAAATACGCAAGCATATAGCGCCCACCGGACCCGGTCAGCCGTCGCCATTGGAGGAGACGCTCTCTCGATATTACCGATACTTCTTGCGAGACTAGACGAGCTCTCACGAGATCTCGGGAGTTTACCTGTGAGACATTGAATGAGATCCGCCAATCGATGTATACAAACACCCACATCCAACAACCCTGGCCTCTCCTATTATCAAGCTAAGAACAGTTTAAAGTATTGATTTTCTTTTATTTTTAGGAGTTTGAGAAATGAGAAAAGGAATAGTGGCCCATTACACTTCTCTCAATTAAAAGGCTAATTTTAGTGTTAGCCCAAACGCAAAGTATTAGAAGGCTAGCTGACTTTTGAGACAAGATGTTGGCGAGTCAGCAGCGGGATATCATAAAGCAGAAGTTTTGAGAAATGAGAAATGAAACAACGTGATAAGAAGGTTAACAGTTACTGAAGTAATTAGCCATCACCTGCAGATAGATCCTACCTCTGCAAACACACACACTGAGACTAAAGACAAACATGGTAGTTCAGGTGCTCCTTCCCCTCTCGGTGACCCCGCTTGTGTTCAGAGTTCAGAGAGTTTGCAGGTCAAATCAACTACATTTCAGATCTCAAACATTTCTTCAAAGCATTGTTTGCTAATAGAGAAAACATCAAAGTCTGTCATCTGTTATGAAAGAGGAGCTCATGACAGTGAAGCCAACTCTCGCTTTGCTTTAAGCCACGAGTTCACATCTTAGTGTCAAACGTCTCCGACCTGATTTTTCTGTTTTTGTGTCTCCTTCTTTTTTCCATTTACAGAAGTCTGAGAAGATATCACCATGATAAGAAGTGGGTAAGAAGGCATGCTTCAGTTTTTAGAGGACTTGTACCAAATGACATGATTTTGTTCATTTTAAAAAGATTTTTGGTTGAAGATTCAATTAGGAGGTTAGTCAAGGTTCTTCCACTTTTGACCTGAGAATGTCGAGGGTGATTTTTCCGGCGAGTGTTTACAGTCTGATCGTCTGGGCTTCCTCTCGTCTGATGTTGCCGTACACTCGCAGATCTGAGCAAATCCTCTGACGGGCGCTAGATCAGACCTGTCAGAGACAATGAACAAAAGGTGAAAATTAGTCTAGAGCTGCGATATTGTTGAACGGATCCACCTACACAGAACACGCTAAGGATTACACGCTTGATTTCCAGCTTTCAGATGGAAGTTTGCGCACTAAGTTTCTGTATCACAAAGGCTGAAATGTTAAAATTTGGGTAAAAGCTTCTTAAGAACCACATGTTGGACCAAAATTTACTCGATATTGGGTAGAAATATTTCATCAGCTACCGGTTAACACTCTTTTCCTCTACATTTCCTCTCTTTCCCAACTTTCTTGTAGATTTGAACTTTTGTTTTCAAGTTTTCACGCCTCGACTAACCAACATCTTCCCTCAACATCCTCAACTTTCCTTTAACCCTGATGATTCAGTAAATGGTCATAGTAAACATTAATATCAAACTCCCCCTCAACCACAGGATTTCAGCCGCTTCACTTGACTTTTTTTTCTGTGTTGCAGCAGTTTCTATTCACCGAATAACGTGAGAATCAATTTCAAAGCAAAGACTGATTTTCCAGAGCAGAAAATGTGTTTTTTTTAAAAAGTGATTCATAACAGATAACATTAAATATACAAATTATCAATCAGCGCCGTCTAAAGCTTCAAATAACCTTGGAGGGGTGTCTATAATTTGTGATAGAAGCAAAAAAAGGAAAGTGTTACGAGTACCTGAGTATCAATCAGCATAATTTGTGCTTTAACAGCCGACTGTTTAACTCTGAAAATCAGTTTCACCGCAGAAAAAATAAACTGTACAGAGTTTAGTTTTCGTATCTCCAGTTAGAAGATTGCCTTACACCGAATATGTGTCACACTAATCTGTCAAATCTAGTGATGAATCATATTGTAATACTGTATATTAAATGTTATAATGAAAAAATAAAGCTCTGGGAATAAAAAGGAAATCCAGAGAAAATGGTTAAAATTACAAAAAAAATATCTGTGCAAAAGAGACAAGACCCAAAACCAGTACTGGATGGTGGTGATGTAGTGATACTTAGAGAGCACGGCACTGAAAACAGACTCTGTAGTGGAAGTCACTGCATTGGCTGAGAGCAGTGTTGCCAACTCCTCAGTAAGGAAAGTCGCTAGTGGCTGTCGTAAAAGTCGCTAGATGACGTCATCACCTAATTTGCATAATTTCTCAGTCAAACCCACCGCCGACCCCCCGTATGTGTTTTTGATGCACACCGGCGGCTACCCAATGAGAAGAATGACATCAATTCACTTTCATGTTAGAGTCTTAAACTCTGAAAAAAGTTACTAGATTTGTCGCTATGCGCTTTTCTGGAAATAAGTCGCTAGTCCCTAGCATCTTGTTTTTCCCCTCCTCCAGTAAGATAAAATACCAGCTACCCCCACCAGCTCTTTTAGAACTGAAGCGGATAAGCTTCTTGGATAAACGTCTTCTCAACTCTATACAGTCCAATTGCCGGATATTGGAGATTTCAAGAAAAAAAGAGCTTAGACTGTCTTTCTGCTGACTTGTGGACACTTTAAATGCCAGTGTTGAGTCGTTTGTGAATGATTCGTTCAAAGATTCGTTCAGCAAGCCTGAATCAATTGGTGAACGAATCACTCAGTGAACTAAACTCTCTGGAATCATTTTCGTCTGAGGGATACACTTTCATGGCGACCGTTGTTCCCCATTGTTTTAACAGATTTAGTTCCAATTAAACAAACTTAAAATGTTCTGTTGGCAGTAATGGGAATGGAGTGAGACTCACCAGGAAGATAGGGGTGTGTTGTGTTCAAGCATACCTTGGGGAAAACTAAGTAATTACAGGCTCCTCCCGCAAAGCGCTGAATGATTCTGTTATTGAGTGAATGAATCTTTTAGTGAACTGATTCTAGTGATACAGTACATCTGAAAGGATTGCTGTGCCCATCACTATTCCTGTCTGTAAACTCGTCTAACAAACTTTGGGCCACCCAAGCACGGGTGGGTGTCACCCTCGTTAGAGAATATAGACACCCACCTGTTCTTTAGGGTCCTTTTCTGCACATATATTTGCATTGTCCTCATTTGGCACTTCTTTTACTGGTTGCATGACCTCAGCAAAGAGTTTAAATCTGTTTGATTTTTGCTGCCTGATTTTCTGACATTGCTTTCGTAACTATCAGCACTGGAAAAAATTAACCAAAATACCCAGAAATGATCTCAGATTCTCTGAAGAGTGCATGCTTTAGGTAAATCGAGTATAAATCAGAATAAAAGTCAGTCCAGATCTGCTCTGGTTAGAAACAGTATACTTACAGTAAATCAGATTTGTGGAAACGCTGCATGTCAGAGGGGACACAAAAACCAGCGTAACCCTTTTTAAAATAAATAAACAGGAGCATGGATGGTTTTCAGCCGCGCACATGCTTTTGAAGATTCTCTCTGAGTATAATGAAGACGCTATCTTTTGACAGCTATGACCAAATTCAGCAGAGATCCTTGAGTTTAACTCAAAATGTGTTTTTAATGGTCTCAGACTTCACTTTCTCTGATGTCAGCTGGAAGCTCCTCGCTAAAGAGCCCGAGTTCCTCTTCCTCTGAATTTCTTGGATGGGTCGATCTCAGTGGCGCACTGTAATGTAATATTTTCCCCCTGTTCTTTTATCTACTGTTTCAAAAAAAAGGCTTTTGATCTGAATCTACAAGGGGGAGCCTGTGAATGTTATCATGAGCATAATTTAAACTGGAATAATATTTTCAAGGAAGCTGCACAATAAGAGAAACTGACAATTCTGAGATGAGATAGAAAACAGATGGGGACAGAGACTAAATGAGTATTTTCCAACTTGAGAGGAGACTGTAGTTTGTGAAGATAGTCAAGCTGTCTGCTTTAAATTATATTTTCTTGGAGCCCTTGTTCTGTTTCAGCGTCTTCATCGGCGACTGGATGGCAAATGGACTCATTTTTTTCTGTTTATTTGTTTCATGTGGCGTGTTAGTCTGTATCTAGTGATGTACAAAGCGCATAAGCTTTTAATTAAAATGTTCACTGTGGCCAAGAGCAGGCATTGTTTTTCCTGCAGAAGTTCTGATTAAGCAGAGAAATCTCTTATAGAACAACATGTATACAAGCAGCGCTCTAACTCTGCAGAGAAATGAGCCGACAAAACCCTCAGATCCCAAAGTAAAGAAGAAAAAAAACACAATCTGAGAAATTAGAACCCGTGGCAATGAGGCAATCTTCAAACGAAAAGAAAAACAGTTGATTGTATTTGTGTATTTGACCTTTATGTAATCACAGCGGGTCTGCTCAGATCGAAATCTCATTTTTCAGAGAGTCCTGGTCAAAATGGAAACATAATTATATTACAAGAAGCACCAGAACCAACACCCGGACATGGAAAGAAAACCAAAAAAAGCATAAAAGGGCAAAGAAAAAAAAGAGCATTTCCAAACAAAGAGCATGCAATTTATAAAAAACAAAAGTGAAAAAAAACAGTTCCTCTTCTTTCCGTTTGTCCAGGAATAGTCCAGAATATATGATTAAATTTACAATATTTGATCAAACTCGCTCAGTTCTTCTACAATAGATGCATGAATCGTCTTTGATGCGTGTTCACTGTAGGAAGTCCAGCGTCTGGTCCGGTCTTTGTAGTGGCGCCCAGTCTTGTGCACCGGCTGCACGTCACTGTGTGGAAGTGATAACTTCAAACGCAGTGTGGGTAAACAACTTTGTTTTATGCCCCCACCCTCCGCTCGCACACACACAAACAAAAAAGAAACTTCAGTCACATCAGAGCTCCTTCCAAGCAGGGCCTTGATTTTCTGTCCGTCCTCAGCTGTAAAAAGTAACACGAGTCAACTGGGTCACGTCTCTGTCGGGTTATCTGTCCGACCTCTCCTCAGACGGACTTTAAAATAGCAGTGTACAGTGACGGAGGGTGTGTGCAGGTGTGAGTCCGTGTCTCGGAGTGAGCCGGGCAGACAGGGGGTGACGGCTGTGTGTGTTAGGACGAGAAAAGACTGTGATTACACGAGCTCGCCGAAGATTCGTCGCAGGTAACTCTTGCGCTTGTGCATTCGTTTTCTCTTCATTACTCGCTCTGACATTGTTTACTCCTCAGAGGCGGCGGGGTCGCACTCCCCTGACCTTTCAGCGGTTACTCATCCCGACTCCTTCTGTTGATCTGTGTCAGTCGGGCAAACCTGTCCTGGAAATATCCCGAAATAAGACTCGTGCATATTTAAGGGTACTTCATCTGAGTCTGATACAAACCCAGACTTATTTTAACCCTTCAAAACATCAGATCTGTGCTGCAGTTTTTATCTGAAATCAGGCCACTACCGCCGTACAACCTCTCACATTTTTATTCACATGCAGGGCAGATTAAGGTGTGACGGTCTGGGCGAGGTCACAGCCAAACTGATGAAACAGGTTTTTAGTAATTCAGAAGAATCGAAACCTCCTCATGGATAAATGATGTATAACAGAAAATCAAAAAAATACAGTGTAAATGTGAGGATTAGACAGATTTAGATGTTTGCAAATAGATTAAACTGGATATTCATTTAAAAAGTGCAACAATAGTAATAATAATAACTTTATTTGTGTAGTACTTTTCAAAACAAGAGCTTACAAAGTGCTTTAACATGCAGGAAAACAAAGAAGATAAAAACAACAAGAGAACACTTAAAAAATAAAAATTGGTGGGAGACATAAAAGCTTTTATGAATGTCACATGAGCTGAGACGTCATTAAAACAAAGACATTATAAGAACCTGTGATACGCGGCCAACACAGGAACCCAATCACAAAAACCTGAAACCATTTTAGTTTTTACTTGTTTTTATCTTCATAAATAAAGTTTGATTGATTGATTGATGATAAGTAGTTACCGATCATGCTAAGTTCTGTGGGTGTTTTACGAAGAGGGCAACAACCATCTTTAAAACACCAGCAGACCTATTTGAACCCTGAAAAAACAGAGCATACGCAGAGCAGTTCTAACCTCTAACATTCATTTTAGCATATCCTCTGGATTTGGT